TTGAACTCCCAGAGATCCACCTGCCTTTGCCTCCTGAGGTCTGGGATTAAAGTTGTGCACTGCTAACATTAAGAATGTTCTTAATGGTGAGTGTAAGACAAGAGTAGATGAGAGGTGACAAGGACCAGATGGTCCTTGTGGAGGAATGTGTATGTTTTTCTTTTTGTATCTCTTTTAGGAAGCACGAACTTCATCTGTGTGATGATGGGGGACCAGTGAGAAGCATTGTGCATTACTTTTCTGGGAAGATGTTGGAATACATTGCTGGTTGATAGAGGTCACAGCTTCCCCATGGCCTGGCAGCTTATCTCATTAGCTTGGCAACGTGAAGCCCCCTCCCTCCAGCAAAGCTTCCTGCTCTCTACCTCGCCTTATCTAAAGCACATACCAGGGGCCTGGAGGACTGACCTTATTTGGAAGCTGTCTCTAAACCAGATGCTTGATTCATCTTTAGCTTGACCCTTGTCACAGATCCCTGCTGAGAAGAGCTAGGGGCTCTACTATAGGGCCCTACTGCTACATACTAAGAGGACTTGTCATCATTTGTGCTCATGAACCATGTACAAAGCTTCTGTCACTCCTTCTGCCTGTCTCCCCTCTTGACCCAGTGGGCAATAGGCTGAGAGTGAAAGAGGACCCCACAGGAAGATATGACTAAGGCCCCAAGGACAAGCCAAAGGAATGATTTTGCCCATGTTCACTTTGGTAATTCAATGAGTGCATTAAATTACTTACCTGAAGCATGACTGAGGGGTTACTTAAACCACCATGGGTGAGGGGTTACTTATTGAAGCCTGGGTAATGAGTTACAACAGCATCTACCCATTACCCCCAAACAGCTATACCACTGAAATGCCCCACCTTGTCATGGAAGGTGACCTCCCAAAAGTTGTGTAGATAGAAGTTCACCACTAGTCAGTTAGCTTTCTACTTCCTGCACACTCCAAAGACCACAGGCACCTGGGGTAGAATTACATGTGTCTAGATGGGGCAGGGGAGAGGAAGGAACTGTCGTCTCAAGTGAGGATCAGATGGCCCCTTCCCTTTCTGTGAGGGAATGTTACTAGGTAAGTCTTACGTGGGAAATTCCCTTTGTTCTGTTTAAGATGGTAACAACTACGATCATGTCATATCTGGGAGAGTGTTCTCTAACAGACAATGTAAAAGGGATTGCCAGGATCCATTGAGTCTCCTTATTTTAGTGATACAAAGATAGATGCACTAGTGATCTAAGAAGAAGCAGGGGAGACGGCAAAGCGGAGACAATCGGCATGGAGAGAGTGGAGATGCTAGGCACTGGAAACATCTGGGAAGTTTCTCATCATTGGGCCACAAAATGTAAGATAAAGAATCAAGGATTAATTAGGAGTTTCGGTGACCAAGACAACAGGGGAGCTGTCAGTGCAGAGTGAGTATTTACAATAGGCAAATTGGTAAATGCTACAAATCAAGAAAAAAAATTAAAGAAATATTTATCATCACATTACTGAGTAAGAGGAGGCTGAGTAAGGAAGGGATGGGATGCGAGGGAGTGGACCAATGGAAAGTCCCGCGAGCTAAGAGACAGAGAGAGGGAGGGGTGCACACTTCTGTAACCTCAGCATTTGGAACGCCGACATATGAGGAAGAAGCGTGGGCTGCTCAATGACAACCTGTCTCAAACAAGCAAGCAAGCAAGCAAGCAGACAGACAGACAGACAGACACACAAACAAACAAATGAAAAGAAAAAGGGAGTTGTGGGGAGCAGACAGTCTGTGAGAAAGAAACCTTGGGTCATTTGATGTTCTGCTCAGTGCCTGGCTGGGAATACTGACCACCTGCAAACACACTGTTCCATGTCCAATGGAAAGACCTTCTCTGCAGACTCACCCACACAGCCACATCATGACCTTAACAAAGCCTCCTGGATCCTGACAGATGTGCCCAGAACATTAGCATTTCAGGGCAAGAGGCAATGGGAAGTTAAATGTTCATGAGAACAGAGACAATGGAGGAAGGGCTTGTGTCAAGAGCACTTGCTCCTCCTACAGAAGACCTAGGTTAGTTGTCCCTGCACCCAAATGTCTTACAACCATCTCTTATTCCAGTTCCACACTGGTACTGTGGTACCAGGGGAATTCCTGATGTTAGACTGTCTCTGTGGGAGTCTGGTCTTGCCTGTCAGGCCTGTGGGGTCTTGAGAAAGTCACTTCCGTGTGACTTCCCTCTTCATGAAGATGATAGTCATACCTCATCAGGTGGGTGTGAAATGTTATTGGTACAAAGTAAATGCCATGAAAATTGTAGCTAGCTGCTGCTGTTATTATTACTGTGACTTTATCTGGGAAAATAAAATATCTACAGTATTTTCTTCCTAAATTATAACTTCATGCTTTTGTTTGCAACAATTAGTGTTTTTGTAAGCAAATCAAAGATGACCACAATTATACAAGTAAAGATTTTCTTATAGTGATGGCAGTTATATTAAACCTCAGCAGGAGACACACACTGTCCACCTATCTTTCTGTAACCGTCCTATCTAGCATCAATACAGTTGCCAGATGCTCTGCAATTCATTTGACTTCCAGCAGGGGGAACTAGCCAACTGTGTTCACTATAATCCAGAAATTCAGGCATTATACCTAGAAGCTGTGAGTCATGGCTGATAGTCATATATAGAATTTACTCATTTTAAGTTCAAAATTATCCCTACTCACATTTATGGTTATGTCTTGCTACCTTCAGATACTGCTATTCTAAGTACCTTGAATATACTAGGTCGTGGTTTTGAGTCAGGATCTCAGGATTTAGTCTAGGCTAACTCAAACTTCCTCACCCTCTCTAATGTTGAGATTACCTGTGTGTGCTTCCATGCCTGGGCTATATTAGAATTTCTCTTCCTATTAGAACCTAATGGGACAAACCCAACCCGCTGTGCACAGAAGGAAGCTGAGGCCCAAGCACTTTATGTGATCCACAAGTCACTCAAGGTACAAGATAACACCTGATTTAGGCTATTTGAGCTCATGATTTAAATCAGGCTAGAAATATTATTGTTGGAACCATGATTGGGAATCCTGAAAAGCAGCCGTGCCTACAGACTGGTTAATACCTCATCGATGTGGAGAAGTTGGAAACCTGCAGTTCCAGAGACGAATTACAAATTATCTTAAAGGTTTGTCTACCTGTTACTGACACATCCTGCAGCTAGCTAGACTTAGCATCCGGACTACAAGTTAAAAGAAGATCCTTTAGTATGTTTTAACTTAGCAAAACCTAGTTCTCTATCAATCAAAGTCTTTTTAGACGGAAGCTAACTTCTGAGGTCTGTAATTGAGATCTCTCTGCCCGTCCAAGCCAGCTCCCTGTTTCCACTGTTTATTTTTAAATGCCTCAATTTATAACTTTCTCTGTTCTGTTACCATAAAAACTTGACAAAACTGCTTCCACTCTGAGACACGAATTTGCGGAGCCTTTGTCTCTAGAGGTTTCTGGACAGTAGTCGCTCGAATCTGGCTCCAAAATAAACTATTTCTCAGCCCCCTTTGAGTCTAAAGAGCATATTGAAGCAGAGTTGTCCCTTTCAGAGATTCTGAACAGCAAATAGCCTTTGTCCAACTCAGTGTTGGTGAGCTCCACCCTCCGAACACTGGAAATTGCATCATTAAAGTGAGGAGACATTGTATACAGTCTAAAATCATTCATTATGACACCAATGATAATTCATTTGATTAGTAAAAATATGACGGCTCCGCACAAGTGTATTAGACACAGCCAATATTTTCAATACTTTTGAAAGCCTCTAGATGTGACGTCAGCATCACTCTTGTCTTCCTCGACAGTGTGGACAGTTATCCTTGCTCAGAGCCTGCATCCCTGCTGGGTTTTGAAACAGAAATATTGACCTCTAATGACAACCCTTGAGAGTTGTTTCTGTGAGGTGAAGGCTGACCAGTGACATCCTGAGCTCTCGGGCACACATCTTTTCAGTGTTCTTCGTCCGTGCATCCTCAGTAACTACCTGAGAACTCAGAAGAAAAACAGTACTGGCTTCTATTGTGAGCGTCCTGTAATCAAGAGTAAGAAGGATACATCTTGAAGCGCTGTCCCTTTCTTTAAGATAACATAAGGTTTCAGAAGATCCCTGGGGTACAGGGTAAGAGGTGACACTCACACTGAGAACTTTGTTTCTCTCAGTGCACCTCCTGGCTGTTACCCCACCCTCCCTGCCACACCTGATTCTCAGAGGCAGATGCGGGCTCAGGACAGCTGAGGGGCAGATTTCAGTTGCCCGTGTGTGCTGACATGTGATTTTATTGGAAAAACCAAAAACTGTGTGAAGTGGAAGAACGGGGTGTGACCAGGTTAGATATGTGGGGAACACCCTAACTGGGGCAAAGGGAACACGAAGTTATCTGCGGGGAGCAGCAAGCAAAGTCTTCAAGCATAAAGCACTGGTTACACGAACTGTGTTCAGCCATCAGAGTTTCTGAGTTCCCCAAGTGATCCAGACTGGAAGTTAGACACCAACATCACCCAGTAATGGAGATGGCCTTCGCAGCCTAGAGTGTGGGCCGGGTTACCCCGCGGGAAGAACTGGCAGGAAAACAGATGTGTGTCTATGGCTGCAAGAGTCAAGGTCCAAAGGTGAATCAGGGCAGGAAGCGTAGCCTCTGCCTGTGGGAGCCAGGCACCAAGGCTTCCAGGTTGGAGTGCCCAAGTCCTTACACTTTAGGGCCCATCAAGGCCATTGGGGTGTCCCAGACAGGGTGCTTGGAGCTCAAGTGTGGCCTTAGCAGTCAGTGCTCCTCACACCATCTGTGCTCACAGTTTAGGGCAGAGCACAGGCTGGCGCTGGAGTGTCCACAGGTGTGTGTACTGCGCTGGCGGCGATCGGGTGGGACTGCAGGCGGCGGGAGGGACAGGCACGCCCACCCTGGCGCTGAGCCCGGGGTTGGCCTGAGCTCCGCAGTCCCGGTGACCCGGCAGGTCGGGGCGGAGCGCTCTGAGTCACCGGAATCTAGGTGTGGCCCGCACGCCGCGCCCCCGCCGCCAGCCCCTGGCCGCGTCCTCGCGGGAGCCGCCTCTTCCTTTAGTTGCGGTGTCCGCGCTCGCGGGGGGCCACTCTCTGCCGTCGCCGCCGGTGCCCCTCGCTCCTCCGCTCCTCGCCGCCACCGACGACATGTTGCGCTGCGGCCTGGCCTGCGAGCGCTGCAGGTGGATCCTGCCCCTGTTGCTGCTCAGCGCCATCGCCTTCGACATCATCGCGTTGTCCGGCCGCGGCTGGGTACAGTCGAGCACCCACCTCCAGACTTCCTCGCTCTGGTGGAGATGCTGGGACGAGGGCGGCGGCAGCGGGTCCTACGACGATGGCTGCCAGAGCCTCATGGATTATGGTGAGTGGTCGCCGCCTCCAGGAAGCCCTTGGGAGACGGACCTGTGACTGCAGCTGGCGCCTGTCTGATTAGGGGGTCAGGGGTAGTGGCTGCTTCAGAAGTCCGCTCAGGGCTCAAACTCCAAAATCTGACTTGAGCCAAATGAAGCAGCAGTTTTAGGTGATCCAAATCAGACTCAGACCTGAAAGAGGCTAATCCAACTTATTTTAAAATAAGATTTGTCAGTTACCTACCTGCGCAAGCTTAACAGCCATTGCAAAGTAAATACTAAAATAACGTGCCAGAGTGAATTCATTTGTTTCACTTCATCTAAATTAAACTTTTTTTTTTTTCCTCATGAGAAAGTCCTTTCAGGCAAAGTTGGAGCAGTTGTGATTTCAATAGATACTTCAGTACCTTTGCTGGTTCGTGTCTGCTCTTGTTCTGGGGAGTGGCCTTAGTTGAAGTCTGGTTGTTAGGGAACTTTCCCTGAATCTGATTTAGCATCAGAGAAGTAAACACGTCCCTCCAATGGAGTGGTGTTGGCAGTTTTAACACATCGCAGTGGCCTCCGTTCGCCTCTGCCAGTTCGCCTCTCCCCGGGGAAGTCCCAACACTTGATTTAACAGTCAGTAGTAGTTCTTGGGAGAAAAGCATTTTTCTTCCAGAAGTGGATGTCCCTCTTGTTTAGTTTAGATACAGTAGTGACTGGCAGTGTGTGGGGGGCAAGGGCTACTATAACCAATGCTTTTCTATTCGGTTTTATCCTTTTGAACTAACAAAAGCAAGTTACTTTTCATCCCTATTCATTTTCTAGTTTCACCAGAACGTGACCCCTTTGCTGTGGCGGCCCACCCAGGGCTTCCCAGGTGCTGTTTGGCTTGGGTTCTGGGCCCCTTATCAGCTGCCTGCTGTAGCTGTATTCTCTCCGGAGGAACTTCCCCAGAAAGGGAGGCGGGTGGTAACACGAGGAGACCGCCACTGTTCCTGCTTTCTTTTCACCTTGGGCTCTCACTAAAATCAGACACAAATGTTTGTCCTACAGGACTTCCTATTGCTACAAATCTTTTAGGTTCTGGAATAACCTAACTGTATCTTAAAATGCACTCAAACTTTCAGAGGATTTGAGAGGTGTGTGTATAGGTTTTTAAAATAGACCCTGTTGAGCATAGCTCACGCCAGGACTGCTACAGCCCCGAAGGGTACTCAGTAATGGAAATCAGCTTGCAGAGGCAGGACAGGTATTCTTGCCAGGACATGATTTGGCCTGCAGGGCCCTCTTGTGAAACACACACAATGCCGGTTCCATGTTTCTTGCCTTATAGGGTGAGCTCATCTTTTAGGGTGTGCCTGCTCTAACCCCGGGCTGATGTGCTATGTGTAAATCTAAGGGGAAAGGCGAGCTTTGGTTCTAGCTTGTTTTTTTAACTGTGAGTCTGAAGCAGTAACTTTTTTTCCGCTACAAGCAAGCACCCATCCAGTGTTCAGTTTGTTTCAATTCACTCTAGAAATCAGCCTTGCACAACCCCAGTTTCCCAAAGGAATCTTGGAAAATTGATCAGGACATTCATGATACAGCGCCCGGTTTTGACTGCTAGGCGATATGTGTCAAAATGATTTAACACTTGAGAGTTTCTCTGTCACCTTTGCACAGGTGATTAAGTACTCCTGTTGTGGTAGACACTGAGATGCATATCTCCAATGGAAGACTGGCCTACTTGTCAGGCTGTGGAAGGAGACAGGAGGTGTGAAGCCATCTTCAATGTCCCCATCTCCGCTTTATAGACAGGGATGAGTTTAAATATTATTACTCTGCCCAGTCTGTTTACTGCTGACCAGTTTACTACACAACTGTAAAAGAATGGTGTGTCCTACACTTTCAGGTGGTTATCTGGGCAGCCGGGAACTCTATAGATCTCCAGAAAGCGTCAGTGGGGCCTTGCTGTCAACAGTATGCTTTCAGGAGCTCACACTGTGTGGGATGGACACCCTCCAACAGTGGTATGAGTGCTGTGTTTTGTATGGCAAGGAGCAAGGTGGATGGGCCTGTTTAAAGCCATATCGGTATAGGACTGAGTATCATGTGCCTCTCACTCTACATGATTCTTAGTGATGCTAGGGAATACTGTTTATTTGAAGCTATTAGCAAAGCAGAACCTTCATTATAAAGTGTTTGACAATCATTTTTTGCCAAGTGATATTCATAACATTAAGGCTTTTGTTTTGGTAGTGAGGACTGGTTATTTTTGGCAATGTTGACAATAATACGAAAGAATATACATGCTTTATAAAGGCCAATGATTTCTTAGGGATATGTGAATATATAACATTATTATTATTAATATATTAGTCTTTAATATAAAGAATATATTAGTCTTTATTATTATTGTTAACATTTTAAGAATTGTGGATTACAAGGTCTTTTCATCTTTTTTTAAATAAATAAAGAAGCCAAGTTAGACCCTGAATGTTTTTGTGTGATAGCAGCAGCTAAATTTTATTTATCTTAGCAAATACTTGTTTGAATGTTTCAGTTTATATCAAGAAGAATATGAGAATCTAAATTTACCATTAAATGATCATCCGAGCTTCTCCTGTAAGCCAAACTCAGGATAAAACTTCAGCGAGTAAGCAATGCTGGTCCTTCTTTTCCAGTGTAGAGAATATTCCCACAGGAAGGTATTTTAAACTTCAGCTCACAGACTTCAGATCCAGGCAAGCTCTGGCTTGTCAGGGTGGAGAACATGGGGGTGAGCTATGCATCAGAGGGGGAAGGGCGGTGGAAGGGCTGTGTCTACCATTTATACTCCAGAGCATGGAGCCTCGGTTTTACCAAAGCTATCCCTTGAATTCCTCAGTGTGCACCCAGTGTTTTCCCTAGATACCGCTTTTTCACAAGTCAGAGAATCAGACTATCCGATGAACTCTTTAAAGATCATTGAGTGCCCTGATTCCTAAAAGTACAGGCGTGAGAAAAATAAGTTCAAACCACTCATTTACATTAGGCTAAATTCACTGGAAAAGCCTTCATTCTGAGACAAATGCTCTTGCAGCTTTGGGGGTGGTATGATGGGGTGGGAGAGGTTGTGGGTAACATGTTGGGATGGGAGGGGTGGGGGAGTTTGCTGGTGGGAAGGGGTAGGAGGCAAGTGGCTGTTGTTTTGCGATGTTAGACTAGTAGATAGATTTCAAGTGCCTGTATGTACATCTGCTCACATTCTTAACAGCAAATTGAAGGGTCACTCACTCCTTTGATGGACTAACTTTAGAATGCACACTGAAGTACAAACTCTAGGTGTTGAGTACCCACGGTACAGGCTAGCCTCCTTACTGTCTGTTTGTTCCTGTAGCATTCTAGAGAACCTCAGTGCCTTGGTTCTGCCCCTAAAAACACAGACTTCTGAACCTGTGGGATTAGAAAGGAATGAAAGTGATGGAGTTCCAGTTTTCACCAAAGCCCCGCCATTAGTGCCAACGGCCATGCAGCTTCCTTTTTGAGGACTTAGTTCTAACCCTTGGACAGTACTACTTAGTTACAAGTAACTCTCCTATGATGACTGAGAGATGTGCCCCCCATCATTCTTGCTGTCTGACATTCAACTAATAGATTTTAAATATTTGAGGGTCTGTTGGCTGCAATAGGGCGTCCTTTCCCGATTCTTACAGGAGTTCTGTAAAAATGCAGTAGTAACTAGTCACCACCCAGCTGGGATTCAGGAGAAAGTGTCTACTGTATAAGGACTCTTCAGCAGCTGTAATGCCTTGCCAATGGCTCTCCTGCCATTTTTCTACAAGGCCAGCCATTCCTTATTGCCTTCCAGAACTTCTGCAGGATGGTGACCTGGTCCTATATACCTGCTTAGTAGGTCTGTCCTTAATCGTCCTAGGGAGTTTTGCTCCTCCAGTGTTAAAATCAGCAGCACCTGAAGGACCCGGGAGTTCACTGGAGTCCTGTGTCTCAACCCTACCACATGGATAATCTGTGGTGTAGCGAGTTCCCTGGGAGTGGGAAGCGGGGCAGGTTTGGGCTGTTGTTGCAAAAGCTTCCAAGTGGATGCTATTCCTCTAGCTACGCCATTGCCTTCATCTCCCCATTGAATATACAAAACAGTATTTTTCTATGTCATATTCACCTGTGTTTACTTAATTATTGTAGGATCTTTTAATTTTTTAAATATCCAGATTTTACTTCTGCCTGTGAATGGCATACAGAATCTCACAGCAACAGTACAGAAAATATCTGCTAATAACTCTGCTCCTCTAGGTAGGACCTTTGATATTACTGGTTGAAGAATGCATGTTCTAGAATGTACTTGTATGTACTAGTATATACTTATATGTTCTAGAAAGGAACCTCACTTTAGTTTGATGACACATTGGTGCCCTCAAAGTCTTGAGCAATGGGGTGGACCACACAACTATTTGGATCTATTTGGTCCACATGTAAAATCTATGAAGAACATACCAAGCCCATGGAATGCACTAATTTGGAGGTGGGAAGGGAAATTAGTGAGTTTCTAAAGCACTTACTTACAGATTAGGAATGTCATCAGTATATTCCCTTTTCCTTAGTTTCATTCATAGCATAAACTTTGCAAAGTAGTACTTAGAAAACAAACTTAAGACATACACAGAATCCATCTATGAAACAGCAGATCGCTCTTCCTATGAGGAAACAAAGCGAATAGGCAATTCCTACCCAGAAACACTTTCTCTGGAGCCCTGCCTGCTTTCATCTTCGCGCTTCAGATAGTCAATCACGTCCACACAACTAGGAAGGGTAGTAAAGCTTGGTGTGCAAAATAATAAGGAAGGACAGACTTGTTCATAACTGATAAAGGTGAGCCCTGTCTGCAAAGAGCTTGTGTGAGCCAACAAATCACGAAAGAGGGAGGTGAAGGACACGTTTTGAAGATGGTTGTTTCTCCTCAGTGTTGGTAGCTGAGATGTCATTTGGATCATTGTATAATGCAAAATAGAAGCAAGTTCCCAAAGACTTGTGTACATCTGTATATGTTAAGCTCCCAGGCAACTGAGAGCAAAGGTACCTGGAACACAAGTATTTTAGATTTTTCTAAGATATATACAGTGAGAACATGCTACTGAAGCCCCTCTGCCCAGCAGCACTCTTCTCAGACAGAGCGTTAGGTCTTGATCCTCCCGCTCAGACCTGGGAAGGCTGGCCTCTCCATTCCAAAATAAAATTGCTGTTGACCTCAGAAGGTGTGCTGCCTTGCTTAGAGAAGTCTATCCTGTATCAGCTAGGATCTTTAAAACCATGCCAAGATTTCAGCCTAAACGATAGTTAAATGATTCAGTGTGGGTTTTGCCGTGCTGCAAGGAGCAGGTTTTACGTGTTCTGCAACGAGAGTGGCTTTTCTCAAGAGAAAATGTTGCTCAATGTTCCTGTTTGATTTTCTTTAGACTCAGCATTTGGAGTAAGCAGGACATTAACTAATTGGTTTAATAGGGAAAGTGCCCCAGATGGTCCATTTGAAGTGTGTGTTCACCTGTTGGTGTCGGATATGTGCATTAGGTTACTAGTAATTCTTTCCACATCCCTGAAATTTAGTGTGAGCTACACTTCAGTTAAATATCAGAGGAACAAGTCACAGCAGTAGCCTGTCTGTGTTACCCCAATTGTCCTTGGATGAACAGGTAAAATGAATATGGCAAGATTCCACAGAATTTATTTGACTAAACTTTCAAGACAGTTCATGATTGTGGCAGTTCAGTTATTGAAATACATGTCTTGCTAAGAAATGTTTCTGTTCTTATTAAGATCAGATGCTGCTGTCTGCTGTGCTGTTGTGTGTTTGCATTCTCTGTGTGCTTGTGTAGATGTGTTGCCTTTCCTGACTTCATAGAGGGGAAGTATGTCTTGCTTTTTCTGAATGTAACAATTGAGTTTATTGAATTTAAGGGTTGGTAGTAGGTATATAAATACAGAAACAGAAAGACTACGTGATATCAGGTCACATACTGAAACCTGTAAGCTTTGTGGGTAGCATTGCCTCCATTTTAATAAAGCTTAGTCATCTGAAACAATATTATGTCTTTTTCTCATGTGCAGGGTCTTGAATTGATCCTGCCACCACCACCACCACCGCCACCACCACCACCACACATAGACATAAACACACACTACATGAAAGGACTAGAGACTCTTTGAAGGGAGGGAGGGAAGGAGGGAGAAAGCAGAATAGTGAGGGCGAATGTGAGAAGTCAAGGATACATGTGTATGGAAATGTCCTGCTAATTCCTACAGTTGTGTAGGAACTACACAAATCTTTGGCATCCATGGAAGAATCACAAGGTTAGTAACAATCGAGCTGCCTGGATCCTGTCTTTCAAGCCCTGATACAGGAGGTCTGGAAGGAGGCATAGGAATCTGTATTTTAATAAGCACCATTGCTTAATATGGCAGTCTTGTCTATGGACTATGCTTAAGACTATCCAAACAATGGGTTGTCTACCACAGCATAGCCCTTTCTCATTTAAAAATCCCCTTACACAAAGGACAAGGCAAAAGTGAGAAGAGAGATATTGAATTTTATATTTTGGCTTTGACTTCATTCATGTGTTTTTGAAATAGAATATTATTGTGCTAACCTCGCCCTAAAATCTCTCACTGATCTGACAAGAAGAGCAAGAGTTGGAGGGAAGCTGTAAGAACTGCACCTCTCAACCTGGGTCCAATCACAGGGCATCTCACTCCCTCTATCCCCACTGCTGAGGGGTCATTTGTAGGAAAACACGGTATTAGAAGACATATAAAAATGTCTGTTCTCCTTCTCTTGAGTTCTGCCCCAATCAGTCATGCACCTGAGGAAGCCCTTCAGGCCATGTAGCCGATGGTGAGGGAGTGAATGGGAAGTTAGACCACTTTTGTTAGTAGTAGAGAAGGGTGGGAAGCTGGGTGACACAGAACCTTGGCATAACACAGAACCTTGCAAGTGTGGAACACAGTGAAAATCTGAGGTTCTGGGTAGATATTATGAGAATAGGAGAGGACCTGTTGGACAAGGGGGGGGGAATTACCAGAGAATTTTTTGCACTTGGAGGCATTTTTAGGCTGATTTCATAAATAAGGAGACTGGTACATGCTTAGCTGGCAGAGGCAGAGTATCCATGACCTCTGGCTGCATCTAAACCCCTTGCTTTTTCCTGAGCCATTGTTTGACTCCAAGTAGCAAAATGGCCGTGCATAACGCACACATAGTGAATGTATTGTTAGCTGTGCTGTATTCTAGCAAGAAGTAGAACCCAGGGAAGGGGCACATAGCTCCCCTTTAAAATTCAATGAAGAGTGAAATAAGAGCATGCCCAGATGAGAGGGTAAGCAAAACGTTGGCTACGAGTACAATAAAACGCCCAGCCGCAACCAAGAATGAAATGCTAATTCATGCTTAAAATGGCTCATCTTTAAAAAGTAATTTGTTTGGTAAAAGAAGTCAGTCACACAAGGTCACAGAGTGTAAATTTCCATTAGTGGGGACTATCTAGCATATGTAAATTAGGAAGACAGGTTGGTGGTTGCCAGAACTTGGGACGGTGGTAGTGAGGGACAGAATGGGGGTGACTACAGATGGTGTGTGGTTTCCTTTGGAAAGGATGGAAATATTCTTCTGGACTTGTCATGTTGGTAGCATAGCTCTCTGGATATAGTACAGCCAACACAAAACCAACAGCCAACCGCAGGATCATGCACAACTTTTAAAATGTATGTAGTGGGTTCAGGAAGGCTAGAAAGCCAACTAAGTACTTGCTATCTGTGTGCACCCTGTCTTCTAGAGTCTACCAGTATTTCTAAGTTAGAAACGAGGGTGGCTTGAGCCTTCAGAAGTTGCTCTGAGGAATTGATGCGTATCCTAATGCTAATGGCTAGCTTTGGACACCAGGTTGTGTGTGAAGCGACAAGGAGTCAGTGTGAGTTGAAGGATAGGAGTTATTGAGTGGTTCGTGCTTGACTGGCGAATTTCCTTATTTCCGTACCTACAGAAGAGCACAGGGTCTAGTACTGCCCCTGTAGGCCTTCAGGACTCAAAGTCAGTTTCGGACTCACCCCAACTCTTTTTAAGACCAACGTCAATGATGAAGACCTCTTGTGGAATAACTTGTGAATGAAGCGAGATGTTAATATAGACTAAATAATAATCCTTTAAGAGGAAGCATTTCTGAAAGTGTGTAACTTGAATTGTTCAGTATGAAGAATGTTTATCATGGTCATGTTGTATGTGGATCTGGGTGAACTTTGAAAACTGACCTCTTTCTGTGGAAACTGTGCCAAGCAGCTGAATTTGCATTTTAGAGATGTAAACATTTGCCCCCAAATTTAGGGGGGACAAAACAAGTTATTAATATTCTCCATGTGAATCACCCAACTTTCCCTTGAAGTGTGGAGTTACTTAAATATTCCCAACCCCTTCAGAAAGCAAAAGAAAATTCCTCCCCTCCTGCAGAACTCTATCCTGGGGCTGGGGGTCAGATGATTTGATTAGCAGTTTGGGAGTTGGCATGTCTGTCTAACAAGTGCCTGTGACTCTGTCTTGCAGCGTGGGGACGAGCGGCTGCCGCTACACTCTTCTGCGGCTTCATCATCCTGGTCATCTGCTTCATTCTCTCCTTCTTCGCCCTGTGTGGACCCCAGATGCTCATTTTCCTGAGAGTTATTGGAGGCCTCCTCGCCCTGGCTGGTAAGACAGAGGCACCAGGTCCTCATTTGTAATCAGTGGGTGTGGGGAGAATGTTCGAGCCCATCTCTGTGGATGTTCATGGAAGAACTCTGGCAGTTATATTTTCTGATTTGTCCTCAGAAATGAGTCACCCACCGCAGGCAAAAGTATCAGAGGACAACTGTGTGTTGGGAATCCGAGTCCCTTTCCCTCTGTGTCTCAGATAGTATTCTGTTATCTGGATTCAAATGACCAGAGTTACCCGCTGTATGTTTCTCTCTCTTAAGTATCCCTATCTGCTAAAACCAACCCTGGAGACCAGAGCTGTGTCTGTCTTGGAAGTACAGTAACCTTCAGGGTGGTTGCTAGCCTGGCTTCCTGTGAGCTCCATGCTGAAGGGACTGAACGTCCCTGACCTACTTTACTTTTTGAAGGATTTGTGATACGGTACGATAGCGAGGGGCTAGACCTAGAATCTGTAGCACAAAGCCTGTGCCGGGGACCTGACTCCAGCAGAAGTGAGGACACGGAGTGATGCGGGCATGTAGAACTTAGGGCACACATTTATTAACAGAATGTAAGGTCCTGGGATTTAGGAGTAAAGACTATATGAAGTTTCTGGCAAATGCCTGTCAAAGTGACGTGATCCCAGCTCCCAGATAGATTCAGAAGTGAAGTTGAGTCCCTGGAGAGATGGCTCAGCTGTTAAGAGCACTGGCTCCTCTTCCAGAGAACAGAGGTTCAATTCTCAGTGCCCTCATGTTGGATCGCAACCTTCTGTAGCTCCAGTGTCAGAGGATCCAATGCCTCCTTCTGCTTTCCACGACACCATACATGCAGGCAAAGCATCTACAAAAATAAAATAAAATCGAGAAACTAAAGAAACTAAGACCAAAGAAGGTGTTGGTTGATAGGATAAATCAGGCCATAGCTTATTTCTCAAGATACCAATTAAGGACCAGAGGGAAGCCAGGGCAGAACTTCAGCCATGAACTGGGAGAGACAATTTATGTAGCCAGGGTTGGAAGCAGGCCAGAAATTCTATGACTATATAGCTCCCATAAAATCAAGCATGCACCAAGAGAATAATGTTAGTGCCACATGTGAGAGGGAGGAAGGGAGGGAAAGTGGGAAAGAAGGAAAGAAAGGGAGGGGAGAGAAGGAGGAGGAAGGGAGGGTGAATAGGAAACCACTTTAATGTCTATCTGGTGCTCTAGAGAGGACTTAAGATGGCAGAACAATGATGCGGGCAAGGAACGGTTTCATCCAGTTAGATGCTCAGCATCATGAAGCAAGATCTCCTGCTTGTTTTCTACCTGGTGTGTGTGTGTGCATGACACTATGGGTTCCAGGGATCTCTGACATTCCTGGTTTGGCTCATGATTAGCAGATTCCTCTAATCGCTAAGCATCCTTATAGGGGGACTATTATTAAAGGGAGAAACTTGGTGAACTGGGTATTATTACTGTGTGGTAAATACCACAACCAAAACCAACCTGACGAGGAAAGGGTTTTAAAAGTTATACTTGATCAGGAAGGGAAACCAGAGCAGGAGTTCAGACAGGAACCGGAGGCAGGAATCTAAAGCAGGAATCATGGAGGAACGCTGCCTACTGGCTTGCTCAGTGCTCAACTTTCTTTACACAACCCAAGACCACCTGACCATGGGTGGCATGACCCACAGTGGGCTGCACCTTTCCACACCAATCATTAATGAAGAAAGTGCCTCACTGACATGCTCACAGGCTGGTGGGATGAAGGCGTTTCTCGAGCTGAGGTTTCCTCCTCCCTTGGAGATTGTGGCTTGGGGGGAGTTGACAAACACTAACTTGCACATTGTGCACCATTCGCGTATTTAGTCATTTGTACCTTCGTACTCTGAGCTCATTTTTCCTTCCCTTTAGCTGTATTCCAGATCATCTCCCTGGTAATCTATCCAGTGAAGTACACACAGACCTTTGACCTCCATAGTAACCCTGCTGTCAATTACATCTACAACTGGGCCTATGGCTTCGGATGGGCGGCCACCATCATCTTGATTGGCTGTTCCTTCTTCTTCTGCTGCCTCCCCAACTACGAGGATGACCTGCTAGGCAATGCCAAGCCCAGGTACTTCTACACATCTGCCTAATGTCAGAGAGAGACCCCAAGAGAAGCCCTGCTGCAAGATGGGTCCCGAGGAGGAAACTGTCCCCTGAGTCACAAGGAACCTACGTTTGGGCAGTGTTCATGTGATCAGAAATGCTGGAATAAATACTAAAGAAAATGCTTCGTAAATCATGTTAAGTTTCATGTCCTGTGTGTGTCTTGTGAAGTTAAAAAAGACTTGTTTCTGTTTGCTAGTTATGTACTAATTCTTCTTGTATCACATCTATATCATTAGGCTGCATTTGTTAAAGAGCATGTGTGCGAAACTTAATAAAATGGAAACGAGATGGAAGCTTTGGTTTTTCAAGTTAGAATGGATTGTTTCTACTAAGAGCTAATTTCAATGATCAAATTCCCTGAAAAATTAATGCAAAGAACACAACAGACTTTTTTGAGTTTTCAGTTACGTGGAGAAGCAGCCTGATGACTCTAAGGCTAAATTTAGATTTTCCTAAATGAGCATCGCTGGTGAGGCTTGCTGGTTAGTGTTTTGAACAATGGCCTTCTCCCTAAGCTTTTTGTTGACTCGCGCTGATGTGCGGGAAAGTGTTCTAATACGGTCAAAGCAAGTAACAATAGTCAGGCCGCTGTCACCGCTGAACTGCTATAGCGAAGTTCCCTCTTTGACTGTAGTTTAGGGGGTAGGGTGTGGGAAGAAGCCATATTAAATCTGTACAGTTTCATGTCTATATGTTCAGAACCAGCACAGACCGGATGGGAAGATGGACTACGGCTGGTTCATCCTGATGGGTGGATGAGATGAGGTTGGGTAGGAAGGCATCGGAGGGGATCACTGTAACAGCAAGGTCCTTCAAACATCCTGCGGAGAAGAAATGTCAGTTCCTCAGCTCAGCCTCCGCTGGGCCCTGCTGAGGATCAGTTGGGATAGATTTTAATTGTAACAGAAACCTAAATAGAATGAAAAACCTGGTCTTCCTTAAAATGTCTGATATGATACACACAACTGGAGAATTCAGGAATGAGTTCTGCATAGACACTGGATGGGCTGTTATTAGTAGTGTTTTTATCATTTGTACTTACGTTATGGAAACTAGCTTGTTTTATACAGCAGATCACTATTTTTTAAGTTGCAGCAACGGCAATTGTGGTTTTCATTTCCAGCTTCCCCCAATAAACCAGGTGTTCAAATCCTGAGTCTGGTTTGTAGTTTTTTGTTGTTGTTGCTGCTGCTAATTTTCCATCTATGAGGGGTATTAAAAATGCTTTCAATGGGTAAAGACATTAGACAAAACAAAGTCTCCTGTCTCACTTCTGAAAGTCTTGCTTAGTTTTCAGTTACATTTTTAAAAGTTCATCCTACAACTTGAGTCTTGGGTACTGTGGTACATAAGGAACTCATTGTCATAAGCTCTACAAGCAGCCTTCATTGAACACAATTATATTACATTGCTTATTTGGGTCTTGGTTAAAAACAGTCAGTTTGTTAAGCCTAAACTTAGATAATTCAGAATACTTGTGAAACCAGTATCTCTCTGCCTCAACTTGTTTTATCATTTTTGTGAATCTTAGGTTTGGGTTGACCTGTCCCCTCATCTCAATTATAGTTTTTAATGTGTTAGCAAACTCTAAAAGTCTAGTGTGTACTTCCTTCCTCCTCAGCGAGCGATCCCATGCATGCAGACATCCAACAGTGTCCTTCAGGCTGTGCCAACAGTGAGTGACTGCGATTTATTGTTGACAGGTTCAGATCCCCAGATTCAATTGTGTGGGTTAGTTGAAGGACCACCCCTTTCTCATCTCTGGTTGTGAGCCTTCTCCTTGTGATGGGCCTCTTCTATCCAGGGAGTGAAGATGGGAGTCTCTGTTTTCCCTGCCCACCTTCCCATTCAAGTATTTCCCCACATTGGTTGAAAGTTAGTCCTATCACAGTGCCTGGAAAGTGTGACGCGGGCAGCAGACTGACCAGCAGAAGGATAGAAACATATTCTGCCCTCCTGCTTCCTTTGGCTGGTTGCTCCTTGGCAGTGGATTTTTATCTTATCCTTTCTGATATATGAAGTACGTATTTCATCATAAGCTTAATTTACACCATGTTTTTTTTACTCTAACTTTTCTGTGACAGGCTGAGTATTTGAACTGGTAATTAGTGCTAAAATTCCCATCTGCCAAAGTAATAGCATAGCTATTTTAAGAAAATAATGGACATAAAGATGAACAAACTTAGGTCTGTGTGCAAAGAATGTCAGATTACAAACTTCTCCGGAGCAGACATTTCGAGTTTTGACCTGTTTGACTTGCTTCTTTACTTCCTCAGTCAGCAACACACTGTATTTTAATGATAAATAGCTTAGGGAGAATACAAGTTAGAGGGGGCCACGAGTTGATAGGACAGAAACCACCTGCCGGAAACCCTGGAGACAAAGGCACCCTGAGTATCATTCTTTCTGAACATTCCATTTCTTGCACCCCTACCCAAGTACGCAGGTCCTCCAGGTCTCTGAGGTTCTGAGTCCCCATGACAGATCTACATTAAGCACAAGGCATAGTCTCAAGAATTCTGAGCTGACTTGACTAAGAAATCACCTAGAGTCCAACAGTGCGTTGTCTGAGATTTCCCATGGCAAGACTGAGGTAGTTTTTAGTTGCCTAATGATATTGAGTTACCGCCCTTTAAATAAGCAGAGCCGGTTCTCAAACAATTATCTCATGCACACACTGAGCGGTCAGATGTGCTAAGTGCCGCTTGCTATCGACTGTAATAAAGGGGTAGTACATGGAGGTCCTTTGCTTTCCATGTAGGTGGCTGTGCAGGGTGATTAATTCAAGCTCCAAAACTATACACTATGGAAAGAATGGCCATGAAATCCCACAGGAGGCCAGAATCATAATGACTCTATCAGCTTTCCTCTATTAGAATAGAGTCTAATCTAATGACTCTATTCTGAGGGATATTCCTATGACTTTAATAAAACTTGCATATTGAAAACTTGCCTTGCTTTCTTAGATTCTCCCAGAAGGGCCTATGTGAGTCTGTCCCCAACTGTGGCTCTTGCTGGCTGTGCAGGCATGGGTGGCTCATTCCCTCAATGGTCTTGGTATCTTCATCTGTATCAGGAACTGAAACCAAGTCTTCTGTAACAAGGACTGCACAATTACTAGTTAGTTAATTTACTCATTCTTCTAGGGGAAGGGAAACAGGCTAAAGTGAAGCTGTATTTTTTTTTTTTGGTGTTTTATTTCAAATGCTTTTCATGAGTAGGCAGACTATTTAAAATCACACTACTATGGTGGCAGAAGTTTATTTGTTTGTTTTTTTCGTAAAAATAAAAGATTATTTATTAAGATGGAAGTTTTCGACTATGAACTGAGAGTTTCCTATTCCGGGTGCTGGAGTAGAGTAACTTGGTGCGTTTCTTCTAGTCGACCAGGAATCCATAATGAGAGGGTCCTGCTAGCTGACCACACATCTTCATCAGCTTTCTAGAAGATAAGGAATGAGTGACACTGGGCATTGCAGCTAACACATGCAAGACCCCTCAGATTGTTGAGAAGCCATAGCTCTGACGCTTGGTGAACCCCGAAGAGGTGCCAAGTGGCAAAGGTGGAGATGGAGAGAAAGAGAGAGACTGCACGGGGGGGGGGGCGGGGTGGAAGGGTGAGAAGAGGGAGGGGAGGGTGGAAAGTGTGTGGTCGAGGGCATTAGTTAGAGGTCTGTTCCTTGGGCCCCTGCTAGTTGACCTAACATCTGTTCCAAATTCTCAGAGTGGGAAGACAGGCCCCAGGTGTTTTCCTGTAGCTAAAACCCAGGGATAACGATCAGCCTCATTAACATGCTCTGTCCTAATGACTTTCCACATATTAACCATATAAATTTCCCCAGACCCTTTCCTGAGGATGACATTTTTTCTTACCGGTTCTGTGAGAAAAAAATGGAAGCGTGTTACTTGGTGAGGTAGCTTTCTAAAGGCCAGACATCTCGTAAAGAGCAGCAATGACAGTAATCATAAATGAGAAGAGGGAGCCCGAGCAGGGTTTAGTAGGGTAGGGCATGGAATTAGCGTTGCGTGGGTGTATGCAAACCTTGTTTTCCTTCCCTCCTATGGCTTTGGCTCCCTTGATCTCTCCTATGTCACGCTGCAAGCAGCAGGAATCTACCTGGCTCCCATGTTTGGGGACACGTGCTAGAGAAGAAGAGGATCAAAAGAATGAAGAGCCATGTCTGGTGGCAGCGGCTTCTTCTGGGAATGGTGTGGATAAGTAAGTCATCTAAAGGCAATGAAGGGTGTGTGTCTGTAAACAAATGTCTCACCCAGGACCCCAACGTCTATGCTCCACTGCAGCAGGTGAGAAAGTTCACTTGTTTTAGAATGAGTGTTCATCGTTGACTGCCTTTTCCTAGCGCCCCTCTGTGGCTGGACCATGTGAGTCATCGCTTTGAAGCCTTACACATAGGAAGCCCTTTTCCAAAATATCGCATGGGTGTAGTTGAAACTGGTGCACGCCACCTTGATCAGGGAAGCCTGGCACTTAAAGCTCCCCGAAAGCTTACTGAATTATGTAATATATATAATGAGATATATTGCTTTTCCTAAGGGGCTGTTTTAATATTATGTATTATCTGATCCTAACTGGAGTTAATGTCTTTAGACATTAAAGACAGAGCCATCCATAGGCTACATTAAATTGTGTGTTTTAATTATCATCTATAGAGTACTATGAAATTTATGCTGTAGAAAACATCTTACAATCACAGGGTTGCCATATTGATGAAACGGAGCACATAAATATAGTTGCATCATAACCAACCATTTTAGCTTATTTACATCACAGAATATTCCTGATCGGAGTTAGACACCCGGCAGGGGAGGGGGTTTCACTTTCAGGTACATTATGTCTAAATCTTTTGCACCCAAATACTCAAGAAGAAAGAAAATGTGTAAGTTGTAAATAGTTGGGTACTCAGGGTCTTTGCTTTGTGAGCTGAATTTTAGGCGAGTGTAGGGTGCTGTTTCTAAATTTCACAATTCTTCATAGTATCTGGGTGTATGTGCTCTGGGTGTGGCAGAGATGAGTCGAAAGTACCTCAAGTGTGGGAAGACAGCCAAAAGGGAAAATTAAGTAAAACTCAAATTCAAGTCATGTTGATGATCTTCCTCTGGCCTTCTCTGAACTTCAGTGTTTTCTTTAAGAGCCCATTCTACTTAGCCCTAGAAATAAATAGGAAACAGGGGAGAGAGAGTGACAGGGAAAAAGACGGACAGACACAGACAGGCAAACACAGAGAGAGACAGAGACATATAGAGATAGACGGAGAGAGAGACAGACAGACAGACAGACAGAGATGGACACACACAGAGAGAGAAAGAGAGAGCTTTTGAAGATAATTCTTCTGTGAAGAAATGGAATCTTGTTGGTTTAAGTACATAAGAGCATCTCAAGGATGAGTCATCACGCAGTCCTAATGGGTGGTTGTTCAAGGGTTTGTGCAGCCTGTTTTTCCAGTACAAAGACTTGTGATAATTAACCAACAATTCGCAACTGCTTTCGGCTAGGTTGCTCTTAAGAAGGAATACTTATTTAAAATAAAATGCTAAACTTAATCACTGAACGTGATTGATTGGTGGATGAGGTTTTGCAAGCAATTTCCTTATGCGAATCCAGTTTCCGAGGCTTCTACTCTCTGTTCTGGGGGGGATAGTCTTGCATTGAAATCTTTCTGTGAAAATCTGTGTTTCTGTTTGCTAACCTGCCCAGTTTCTAAAGTCAAGTAACATTTCAAGGCCCAAGCCTTTCTCAAGAAAAGCAAAACAGAACAGAACAACAAAATAAAACACTCCCATCTAATTTCATGTAAGGACGAATGATGAAAGAGAAGTTGGCACACTTAGGAGGAGCGGGTATTTGTTGTATCACTGGACTAATGATCACTTTTGAAGATATCTAGATATCAGCAGTTGGATACATCAAGAAAAGTGATATCAATATGATAAGATAAATTCTTGGCAGATCCCAAATGAGAACAAATGCCCCTTTTCCCCCCTCTCTCCCAGAATACTCCACTGGTCACACAGCATAGGTGACTCCTGGCCTCACTCTGGAATGGTCTTCTTGGTAAAGCTTGGGAGAAGGTTGCTGTTCTCCCAATGCAGCTGTTCTCCTAGAATACCTAAGGCTGGAATCTGGGTACCTTGTAT